CTTTGTAATAATCGTCGCACTTTGAAATACTTGTCGCACTCATGATAAAATTGTGGCGCCTTGTCATAAAAAAGCTCTCCCACAATCTAATAACAAACCATCGAATTTTGTTTAAACATAAGCTGTCGCTCTATGTAATAAAAATACATCCAACTATACAATAACAGACCTTATCAAATGGCTGCCAGCACCCGAGGGCAAGATGTGGCGAATGCTAATCCTGTGTTCTGATTGGCTATCCGAGTGGACAAGATAGGCCCATCTTTCCCACTCAGGATTGTTGCTCCCTTTGATCACGCGAGAAAGAAAAAAACAAACAAACAAACAAAAAACCTTGCGTGAGTAGACTTACAATGCTGGTAATTTTTAAAGGAAAACAGAAGGCAGCTAGAACAAAGTAAAAAAAAAGCACAAGCAAGTTTCGTGAGTTATTTGTGTTACAAAAACTTGAAAATTCAAGAGAGTCATTATGGGGTTAGCCGTTTTCCGTAAAACAGCCGAAATAAATAAGCCGTTCGGAGTAAAAACTGACGCTGAATTTTAACCTTGAGGCGTAAATAAGGTTAACCATAAAAGTTTTTCTTATGTAAGATATGTCATTTTGAAAAAAGACTGTAGTGTGTGTCTTGTATCGTGGCTTATGCTTTTACGACAGTTTTATCCTGGCACCGAAAGCAAAGAAACTTTGCACAAGTTCCGCTGATTCATATTCTGCGAACCGAAGTGTCTTATCTTTGCGCGCAAGATGAGTTGACAGACAGTAGACCATTTTTAGGATATTATGATTCTTCATTCAGTGTACCTGTGTGATGGCGGTTTCGAAAAAATAGTTAGTTTGTATCGAGCTGGGGAGGAGGCCAATCGAGAGGTATGAGGCGCGAGTGAAAATCGGAGAAAAACGCCGCTCCATATAATCATTTGACCTGAAACTATACTGCCTAGCGATAGTCAGTGAAAAACTCGGAAATCTACGCGATTTTAACGCAACAGTTACTCGATTTAGAATTACTCTTCTTGTCTCACTCTGATGGTGAAAGCGAGCTGGACGGTAAATAGTTTTAGATTTCCTTTTTCGACCCAAATACACACTGCTAGGCACTGCACTAGATCTACTAGTGCAGGTCTTGGTTTTTCGAAGAGCGCATAAATTCTCTGCGGTAGATTAGCATATCCAGTGGATTATGTATAGTGATTCCCCGGATATATTTGATTTCTCAAAAGCTAGATGGAAACTGTTCAACGCCAATCTGTCCAGCTCGCTTAGCGTTTTTAATATGGTACAGCGTAGTAACAACCATTGCTAAGGGAAATCTTCAAAGAACCGCCCTCAACATCGTACAGAAAGGGCATTCGCTCAAAAACATATACCGGTCATGCTATGGAGCCGTGTAGGCCTTCTAACATCTGCAAATGTTAAATTAAACTGGACGCACAATGGATTATTGTAGCCGAGCTTGTCAACCCCAATTTACACAAACATATTATGCAATTAACTATACTTTTGATATAGGTTATTTGCATAGCGTCGCTGTCTCTGTTGATTGTACATCCTATGATATGTTATTTCTCTATAAACATAATAGACTAGGTGTAGTCCCTCCTTTTTGGTGAAAAAAAATTGATATTAGCACGCTGCGGGGAACTCTGGGAGTGAGAGATTTCTCGTAGTCTAAACATAGTATGCTAAAAAACCTATTTTAATTCTTATAGTACCGTAAGTACTTTGTTTATGGTTTTTTCTTTCCGGAATTGACCTAGGACGTTAAAGAACGTTAGTAAATGTGTTTTAGAACAATGAAAATATATTTTTAACTTTTGAAAACCATTGAAAATAATTATTTACATTTCTGTCATCTGAAACGGAATGAAAATAACGGTTAGCCGCTATAACGCGTAGCCGTTATAAGCGGTCACCTCATTGAGACCCTCACGCGTCTTAAAAGGCAAAGTGATATAGAGGCAAGAAAGCAATTTTTTCCTTATTTTGCTATGTGACAATCTTTTAGTGACCAAGGTTAGATGGCTGGATCACACGCAGCCCAAGTTCCAGCTGTGAGATGATCATATTGCAAAATAAGAGTCATGGCGAAAATATAAGAGTTTGTATGAGAATATTCACGACCGCTCTTAGGAAGTAAAGATACAATCAAATTCTCAATAAAACTACCTCACCTTACTTCCATCGTGCATCGCTTGTTATCTGTCCGCTTACTATGTTGAAAAGAACCCATTTTGGCGAGTATCCATTTCCAGTTTTACTACCCTTAAGCGGAGGAGAAGGCTGTATAATCCATTTCCGAACACCTGATCCGAGAAGCGAAAAAAATCCAAGTTCAAAATGACCCCGTGTCCACAAATCCAACGCAGAATCCAAGCACATATACTTTAGTTTCATTTCAATTCATTAACAACTCATTCCTCCGTGTGAAACCCACGCTAAGCCACAGTTTGCTTCCAAAATTTTCTAACGACCCGCGTACCTTTGCAAACCAGCTTGGTAACCCTGTCTCTTTTGGGAACTGAGCCTCGCCGGGGAACCACACCGTCACTTGGCACCCGTGGTTCTACAGTAATTTGTTGATGCCAAGTGACGGTGTGGTGTGGCCCCCGGCGAGATTTAGTTTGCAGAGGACTAGATACGTCTGAAAGGACTCGATTGTAAATGAAATATGAGTGATCTTATGTAAAATGGTTGCAATACTCGTACTTCTGTTCATTGCCCCAGCAGCAATCTTTCCGTCGACTATAGTCTCTAGTGTAACCGTCTTCGTTAGCGGATAAAATAAACAAACAATGGTGCGATGTTCTTACTGACTGAAATATTGTTTGACTGGTTGATTTCTGGAGTGCGATCAAAAAAATTTTATTCCCTTGTTACTAACAGCAGCTTTAGAGAACAACCGATGCAAAGAGAGAAGAAACAGCTTCAGCTAAGACGGCAATTAAATGAACTGGCAAAACTTATCAATGATAAAAATTATTAACACGCTCATTTACTAGAAGCTAATGCCTTGTGAATCCGAGTAGCGTTGACAATAGTAAATACGACTATGTGGAGCGCTTGCTGCTCATTTGCAAATGTCTTTTAATACAAGTCGCCTGAGGGTAAAATAAATGTTTTCCCTTCGAAGATTAAGCTTACATTACGGAGTCAAGATGCCTCCACAAGAAATAAGAAGACCGAGATAAGTTTTGTGGCTCGAGGAAAATCCTTTCAAATCATATAGTCACAGACCATTTACAAATAGTTAATCATTCAATTTTCATTCCGCCTTTGTTTTGTTCGTTTTGTTTACGCACCTTTCAAAAGCACCGCTAAAGAATTGCAAACCCACACTACGCAAATAAAATGCGATACTAATTGATACATCTTCTCGCCGTCTTCTCTAAAGAAACTTTTCCCAGTATTCTGCTCCATAGCGGAAATTCCAATCCTCATCGTTCGCCGTTGCACATGTGGATCTTACGATCCCCTATGGCAAAACAGTTTTAAACAAACACAGTCAAACACAGATTTTAGTCATTTCATCGGATTTTCACTGAACCAAAAATCCGCAAAGAGAGATAACCATCATTGTAATTGCGCTATTAAATTGAAACAAAAGAGCAACGCCGAAATATTACCATGGATTTTCTCACGCAATGATGACAACCGAGAAATCTTGAGGATGCAACCAAGTTATCAAAATCGTGGCTGGGATCAATTTTTCCATCACAAAAAGGATGAACTGCGCATTGCAAACTGCCAGCTGGGATGCAGCATGCTGCAAGTATAAAATGATGAAAGTAGTTTCCTTTGGGTTTAGTTCCACCTCGGTTGAAAATAATTATCTGATTCAATTAGTGGTGAGGCTCGAGCGTTTGATTTATTTTCTCAGGATACAAACTTCAATCGAAGTGATTTTAACACTTTTCGTTTCCTAACCCCGTTAAAGCGAGAATCGTCTCGGCCGAATAGTTTGATCGTCAGAAAAAGTGGCGATTTAAGATAGATCTTTTAAAGAAGTTGAAAAACTCCCAAGACTCTTCCAGCAAGAATATTCGACTAGCCCCCTGCAGGGGTCTCCAGTCCGGTCCGGTCAGTAACCCTTATTAAAGGAGGCAACTTACCATATCATTACCGGCGCCTTGGCCTTGTCAAGGGCCTTGGCCTTGTCAAGGGCCTTGGCCTTGGCCTTAACAAGTCATGTTTGTTTGAAGTTAGCAATTTCGGAATATATAACGTCATAAGTTCGATTCCCGTGAGAAATTATTTTTTTATACCTATCATTCCAGTCAAAACTTCATGAGAGGTAAGATTACTCAAAAGCTCTAAATTTCCAGCGTTACCCATGGAGTAAATATCCCTCCAGGTGTAATTACTGTCTAGTGTCTTACTGTCTTCTAACTATTGAACTGTTTTCCCTTAAGTGATATCATCTCATTAGAGAAGTAGATCGTATCTTGGTTATATTTGTTATTGAAGCATATCAAGTTGTTTTAATTCAAAGCTCTATGAGTACTAGTGAGTGCCCAGCTTGAATCAACTCTATACTTTATTCTTGTGTCGAGATCAGTATCAGAAAAAGTTGAGCAAAAACGCAGAGTGAAAACATTTAAGGATAGTGTAGAATGCCGATTTGTTTAGTTTAGTTTTTATCTGATGTTCTGACATTCCTCGAATTAACACTTAATTGTTCTGAATGCTGGTATTGAGCTACTTTCTCGAGCGTGATCAAGGGCGGCGTGAGACGCACAGACGGGAGGAAAAAATCACGTCCGAAAAGTTGCTGAAGCATTTCGATGAGAAATGGATCATTAAAAAAAATTTAAATCCTTAAGTGAAAAGTTTAGCTTCTGATGTAAACAGTATTTTCTCCTTTCTATCAAGAACAGGCACTAAAAACAGAAGGGAAGAAATTTCTTTGAAATTCTCGTCTACGTTTTTGCGTGCAGTAGGGATTTCTTATCGCTGCCTCTATGAAAGGTTAGCATGATGATGAAACTAAAAATGGTAACGATCAAAAGAAGGGTGGAATAAAATCAAATAGTTAATTGTGTCACCGTTGCGTGAAATGGTCTTTTAGGCGTCATTCTCACGGCTAAATGAGTCATTCGTGTTCTCTGATTTTAGAGCTAGCATCTCAACTCTGAAAGGTAAGACCAATTTCGTTGAGATAAACTTTTTTTACCCCTCTGTCGAAGAATTTAAGAAGTAGGAAATGGAGCGGTAAGTGTTCCAAAAAGTCATACCAATCACCGCGTGTAACTCAATTTTTAACACTAAAATATTACTTGAATCATTCCACAGCCGTATAGTTTTTCATATATATATATATATATATATATATATATATCAAAAAATAGTTATCCACTCTCCTCCCAGGTTCAACAGGGAGACGCAGTACCCTTATGGTTAGTTCCCTGGACTCCAGTCTTGTGTTCTTAGGAAAATCACTTTCCTCTCACAGTGCCTCTCTCCATCCAGAAGTATAAATGGGTACCGGCGAATTATCAGGGAAGCATGATGAAATGCTTGGGGTGACCTTGCAATGGAGTGGTATTCCATCCAGGGGGAAGTAGTGGTGAGAAAAATGCTCAAATGGCGCCCACCAATTCACTCTGCGATCGAAAAAAAGAGATTGTTGCGTAGCTTTACATCCTGATAAAATAAGATGCTACGCAATTACGCATGTATCGTCTTCACTTGCATATTTTGCGTTGGTCTGTGTATTAAAGTCAAGTCTTTTCATTTCAGTTAACATGGCTTCCAGTGGTAAGATTCTTCTGGCCCTTGTCCTTCTTCAAGTGGCACTGGTTTTGGCAAAGCCGTACGATTCCCTTTACGATGAACTTTATCCCTCTTATAGAGATATGCGGGATGAGTATTTCCACAGACGAGAAGGTATTTCTAACAATATCTTGCTATTTTTCCGAAACATTTGTGACATATCTTTAATACATCAATTTAATCGCAAAACGTGACAAGATTTGTTTTAATGTTGATTTATCAGTTTTATTACTGAGTCACACTAGTTTTCTTTTGTCATCTAGTAATACTTAGGCCCCAACATCGAAGGCTGCCCCGCGATTTCTTAATATTTTGAAGAAGAAACTATTCTATAACAATTAAATTTCAGTTGCGCCGGTAAACAACTGCTAGCTCCTGATAATTACACTAAGACAATTGTTCTTCTCAGCCACACAGAATATTGATTATTTAACAATCTCTCATATACAACAGACTTTTCAAGTTTTTCAATGCTGTAACCGGAAAACGCCAGATAAAAATTTACAGTTCATTTCTATGTCGTCGCAGTATTAATTTAGAACATTTAAATTTAACTCACTCAACATTTTTGTTCCACACACTGGTTAAAAATTTACTACGTTTCAATCATGAAAAACATTTGTATTTCACTTTAATCAGGCGAGGAAAAGGTCGCTTCCGCTGGTTGATACATTGATTGTGGGACATTTAGAAAATTGTTTTTGTTCATTCTGGTACCATAATTATTTAGATCTTCACAATTATTTTTCTAAGAAATTCCAAATGCTTTATTGAATTCCGCAAACTCTTAGAGCTATCTTATCAGCAGTAATGACAATGGTAAAAGCGCCAAAGGTAAGGCAGTCGACTGAAACACTTCTAACTTGAAAAAAGTAACGTTATTAATCCCTCATATGAATCCCCTCCCTTTCTAAAGTCAATTGAAACACGTTGATTTTTCTGTTCTTTTCTTCTTCAACCAAAGCCCAAGCATGTTATCCTGGCAGATTTAAAGTGGGCTACTGCCGAGTAACGTGTGACGGAGGGGAGCGAGCAACCGAAGGGCCAGTGCATGGATGTACTGAAAGCCAAAAATGCTGCGAATGCATGGGCTTAGGTACTTGGTAAGTTATGCATTTCAAATAACAGTAATTCTTTTTTTTAGTAAAGGGTCGAAAGTTATCCGGAATTGCAATAATATTCTGAAATTTTTTCACTCTTCGGCTCTCTAATCGACCTTGAAAACACAAGCCAACCTCTCTATTAATTAGATGCGACACTCAAAACAGACACGGTTTGTTCATTCGCATGCACTGCATTCACTGCGCTTTAGGCAATATCAGTTCTTAGGAATTACAAAGCAGGTGAATCTTATCAACTCTTTTGGCTGAGCCACGATTATTTCAAGCAACAATTACTTTTAACAGCAGACTGTAGCACTAAAACATTCGATTTAACTTTATCATTTTTTTTGGAACAGGTATTTGATTGTCACTTGACAACACGTTCAATTCTTGTCTAAAAAAAAAGAATGAAAAAGCAAAAAAAATAATATTGTGGTTACCGTCACTCATCTCAGTAACATATGTGGCCTCGCCCCCAATAGGAGGAAATAGCCACAAAAACTAATGATTCTGTTTTGCTAAACAGCCCTGAATGTGACCAGTAAGACTAAAAAGTATTAAGACATGGGTTTATTTTTCATTCTACAGCAAACCATAAGCAGTGTGTCCTACATGTGCAGTACTTCAGTTCTGTTGACTCAGTAACTTTAGGCATTTTATTTGGATTATATACGTGTACATGACGACAAACTGAAAAATAAAAGCTACCATGCTAATCAAACCCACATGAGAGTTTTTTTGCTGTCAAGATTTTATTTTTTTTTCTGAGTTTCTGACATTCGGTTACCTTTAAGCTTTCTTTTAATTAGAAGAAAGTGTTGATGAACAAAGTTGGACACGTGAAATAGATAAGAGCGTGTCGCTGCCATTTCGTCTACGATTTTAACCTTTTCCAAACCTAAAATAAAACCCTTTCCCCTCATTCCAACCATCATGAGAAAATAGCTCGCTATGGTCTTGGTGTTAAGCTTTTATCCTTAAGCGAGGATACCAGGTTGTCGTTTGTCCGCCTGAAGTAGTAAAGTACATCTGCTCCATTGTGCCCCCAGCACGGAACAAATCCATTCTAAAATACTTGATCCTGAGCCGAGATCAGCTGCAGAGAAGATGGGCTTAAAGAGAACAACGAAACAAGAAGAGATAGTCATATGTTATCTTAGACAGAGGAAAAAAAACGATGACGTGAAATAAATTGATGACTTTGTTGCAAGGACACAAACACAGTCGAACCTATATTAAGTGGCACCATATTAAGCGGTAGTCCCGACATCTTCCCCTTTTTACCCGAACATCAGTATTCATATTCTCCATACAGCTTTCCATAAATTTACCAAGGTGCTGATAAAGAGAATGTGTCTAACAACGAAGAGTTTCTTTCGTTGGTGATCATTTCTTTATTCTCATGTCATTAATGTATGATTCAGTGGTGATATTGTACGAAGAAATTAGATGCCAGTCACTCTTAGGGGTTTAAGTACTAAAGCATTCACCGGCTCTATTAAGCATCCGTTGTTATCCTTGACTGAGTCCGAACGGTCTGTTTCTATTGTCTTCCACCTATGTTGAACGGTCACCTTGAGTGGAACCACTCAAATAAAACTAAGAATAAACTCGTAAGTCAAATTTAATCCATATTTATTCGCTTGAATTGAGACGTTGTAACGATTATATTTCTATTTGCCACAGAAGGTTAAGGTGATTACTTTCTGTGTATTAAAGTCAAGTTAAGTTCTCAGAGCCGTTGTTTTTAAGGCTAAAATTTGCCTCCTCGAATAACGAATTTCGTGCACGGTTTTAGCCTTTTTTTTCCCGTGTTTAATTTCTTTTTTAATTTCTCCAATTTAAAGGGGATAATTTGTACACCAGAATTATTCAATAAAAAAATATAGGTCACCGTGCTCGTTCAAGAGCTAAGAACTTTCGTACCTCTTTACCTGGTCCATTGATCTCGGAATGTGCGCTTATTTGCCTGATTACGTAGTTTTATGCGCATTGCAGGATGTGCAGAGCAATACTGAAGTATTTAAGCGCAGGGGAGGAACAATTTTAAACACTGCTTTTCCAAATTTCAGCCTTGACGATTCAAAATGAAAAACTGCAATAGCAATTTTTGCTCCCTTTTTGTTCCGGTTGATTGGCTTTCGCTAAGGGTTGACATTAAATTTATTTATTGATATTGACATTGTATATACTTCAATTTTATACAACAACGTGTGGGTTGCTGCACACACACACACCATCCGTGTTCCACCGTTAGTTCTCGTTCAGTTAAAGTTCTTAACATTTCCCTCTTGGTTCCATTTATTATCTCAACTGCGATGTTTTATGAGGATTTCCAGACCTGAGAAAAGTTGCAAGTGCACACGTGCAGAATTGCAATCAGCTGTTGACGCGTCACTCGCCTTTCGTGCCAATTTTTTCAGGTTCATTAATCAGTAATGTCGACTCTTCTAGACTATTAAAGCCTCTGGTGTTTATTTGATAATCAAAAGTAATACATGCGCGTGCGAGTGTTCAACTCGATATCTGACACATTCACTGCCCTCACTTGTGAGATATCAAGTTCAACACTCGAAAAGAAATTCCATATCTACGCGCACCCATGTATTATTCTTTAAGGCTTCTAATTATTTTTAAAATAATTTAAGCTTGAACGGTCTCTTCAAAATTCCTCCCGTGAAAGTTATTTCCCTTTGAGGGCTCTTCTATCTCGACGCCGTTCCGTCTACCGCTTTTTAACTCTCACAGCGATGAAGGGTAACTGATTAGCAGAGTGAATTCCTATAACCTATTCGTTATATGCAGATGAGTTTGTCACTAAGTGATAGTGACAAGAGAGATCAAGAACAATTTCGAACACTTGAGAAAAAACATTACTTTTTTTCATTTAAGACTATGAGAATCGTTCCGTTGTATTTTTTAATGCTAAAAATGGTACGTGTTAAATGAAATTAAATGAAGCGGATATCATTCGCAAGATCAAAGAAAGGGCGTGATGCAAATGAGTTTCTTGTGATGTCACTTATTCAAAGAAATTTATTTATCCTTCCCAATCCATGCAAAGTTATTTCGGCGCTGGAATTTCGATTGGTAACTTCTCAAAAAAGGTGAGTTCAATTTTTGTTGAGAAATACAGTTCTCAACCGCAGTCATGAAGAGATCGCAAGAAGCGGTAAATGGTGTGCGGGTACATTCAACTGGTCGTACCTTTGATTTCATGTATTTCTTGATCTCCGTTCAGGAGTAGCTGCTCTTGTTGTGTGCTTCAGTTATTAAGGCGTTGTCACCTTTCAACTAATGGCTTGCTACAGCATGCTTCAGTATCAAAGCTTTATCACTGATTTCCAATCTTTGCATTTCAGCAAACATGGCTTTCATTGGTAAGATTTTTCTGACAATTGTCGCTCTCCAATTAGCTCTGGTTCTGGCTAAACCGTACGAACCGCATAACGTTGATCTTTATAACTCCAATGAACCTATGGACGAATATTTCCACAAACGAGAGGAGCTAGGTAGGAGATGTCTGGAATGACAACTTCGCTTTCATTTGAACAATGTGACCTTTTCTGCCCTCGAGGGGAGTGGGACAGGGGATTTTACGTTCCTTAACTTTGTTCATACCCCGGATTGCAGAAATAAGCTGACAAAACCTCTCCCCGATATCTATTTTCAATTACTATAAAGGTTGTGAATTAAGGAGCTTGTCACTTAGCTTAAACGGAACGGAATTTTAAAAAGGATAGTGACAAACATTCCCGTAAAATCTACCCCTCCTCCGTCACACTTCATGATTCCTCTTTTCCCCCCGAAAAAGGCAAAGAAATTTCGATATAGCTTCGGCAAATGCTGGAAGTATGGTGCATCATCCATCCTCGCTATGAATCCATAAAACACCTTCGAAAAAACACACATGAAAGGTCCATGTTTTATGTTTCCTTCTATGTTAACAACAGACAACCTTGATAATTTATGAATTTCCGAGGTGCCCCTTAAAGTCCTTCCCCTCCAGTAATCAGAGGTGACAACGAAGGTAGTGATCACAAAGGTTGAAATTAAAATCCTTAGCGGGGCGGGGAAAGGGACTACAGAGAAAAAGAGATGGTATTTGTACCTATTTTAGTAGAACTTTCCCGACACTTTTGTCACAGATTGTTTCCGGGAACAAAATAGTTAAAGGGAAGTTTCGCGTTTGTTTTGTCTCAAGCCAACCGTTAAAAGCATACTTTTAAAGGTCTTAAAATGCTCAGTTGATAGGCGCCACTTTTTAAAAAAGGCAGACGGTAAAATGGAATCTCTTGACGTCCCTTTTCAGCCACTTGTCCACTCTGAGGTAGAGATTTGGCATGCGCAATGAAGAGGTTTTTTTTTTCTTGCTGTTTTTTTTTTGGCTAAGATTATCCAAGGAGTTTGCGTTAAATAAGAGCCATTGTCTTAAATATCACGTTTAAATTGACTGATAATCCACTATTAACATGGTCAGGAACCGGTCAAGCCCTAATTGATATCGTTGATAAAGATCCTCAGATGGTGATGTTGTGTTTTACTTTTAACCCAAAGCGAGGTGCAATCATTTTTCTTGGCCTGCGTACCACAAGGTCAACTACTGCCGAGAGTCTTGCAGAGCAGAACCATATGATACGCATGTGAAGAATCTTGACTATTTGTGTACTGGGGGATTCAAGTGTTGTTCGTGCAACTATCAGTGGTAAGTTTAGGACCTAACGTCGTTAATTGCTATAAAATTTACCAACAACAATTGTAGCCGAATTATGGGTCTTGCCGGTAAAGATTGAAAAGTGAGTATCGTCAGAAATCACTTTCATATCGTTAGAAACCACTTCAACTTAAAAACTGATAAAGCAAGTTCAGTGATGTAAGCGTGAGAGATACATTTTTTTGAAACTGGTTCACATCCAAGAGAATTCTTGCAATCATTCATTGATCCCAGCCACCAGCTTAAGTTCGGTGCAGAAACTAGCTTGGACCACAACTTGGCAAACATCTTAATCTCCAGAAAACATCACCCTCTTGAATTTTCCAGTCCTTGATTTATAACCCAGTTGATGTTTGCAACCCGTGGCCATTCCCTTCACTGCTTGGTTTATTCATATAATCACCGAGATTTTTAGATTCCAAAGAGGTGCAAAATATTTCGGTTATGGACCCAGCCCTTTGCAAATAACAAAAGTAACATGGCCGCCTACCTATGAAGCACAAAGTCGCCCTTTTTTTCGAAGTTTTGGCGGCGTATTTGGATAGTGAAGAGCTCAAAATTGGATTCTTGACTCATAGAAGTCGTGAAATAATTTTTTCCTACACTAAATGATGTTTTTTTTTCTTTCCACAGTCCTAAGGAAGAGTAGTGAGCCGCTTTGCCTTCGTTAGGAGTACTCCGAACAGCAGTTTTTCCTTATAAGACATTCTATTACGATGTTGTGTGTATCAGACAATAAGCTGAGTAATAAAGCCAGAAAATAATCTCAATGAAAATATATGAAATTTATGATTTGAGTTTATGGTTAGGGACAAATGAGATTCAATTTCGGCCTCTCGAACTGCGGGAAGTCGAAAGACCTTTCACCCGTGTCACTACCAAGATCTGTAAGTAAAAGGGGGTTAGACGATTTTTATATATCAAGACAACATCCATCAATCTTCTGTGTGAAAGCAATATTTCCAATGGATCCTGGGAACTGGATTTGAAAGTAGTTATGTTCACCCCTCTGTCACTGGATATCCCGTATCCGTGATTTTGTCGTCTGCTGACGATTCCCCTCAAGGCCTCGTTTATACTACATTTCTTTCGAATCTTTGTCCCCTTCTGTTTTTACATGGGGGTTTCTTTAAATCTCAGCGCTGTAGGAACAGTTTCTTTCAAATAATTACCAGCCCGCTCTTTAAAATTTGAAAGCGAGGCTTACGTTGAAATTGGATACTCATATTTAAAACATGAATGAGGCGATTTAGATTTGTTTACCCAAAGATCTGAGTTCACTTCCTCCTCTGCGCATTTCACATTGCTGACGGATTTACCTTCTACCATTTGGGGTTCCTAAGAATTTTTATTCATTTTATTTCTTTAAGAAGTTTACGTCGTCCCTCGATGTTACTGTCGGTTCTCCGTTGATTTCCCTATTTCGGGTTACAAGCAAACCAATTAAATAAGGTTGAACCAAATAGCGCGCACTGATAACAAGAGGGACGAGAGAGGTGTGAGATCGCGGAATCGGGATAATTTCATTTCTCTCCAGTATGAAACGAGGAAAGGCAATATCTTGCTTCTCTCCGATTTTTAAATAGACATGTATCAATTTCAGTCTATCAAGCCTTTACAAAAAAGTAACAGTAAGGCAAGAAAACAGTAACTTACCCTTCAATCCTGGTTATTTTGCCATATCGGAGCAAACCATGCAGCGGTATGTTTAGGAAGTGCTGAACCCTGCCGATCTGCTGCCCTTTGACATCTTCTAAAGTGTATGTCTTTCTCTGGGATTTGCTGAAAATCTGGACTTCTCGTAAAGCCTCTGGAATGCGTTCATTTCTCGTGGAAGAAGACAAGCCAGTGCATGCAGTCATACGTGTTGTCGTCTTCACCTTGAAGAACATGCGGTGTTCCACCGATCTATTCCCACACTCTTTATAACAAAGTTCGGATATAACGCGAGTTGTCATTGATTGAGAGAGTGTGCTCAACTGATCAGGGTATAAACATAGAGCTGAGCTTTAGCTGTCATGCCATATGCCAAATTTTACTACGTCCGACCATGTCCCGGACTTCTCTCTGGCTTTTTCCGTTGATTGAGAGTGAAAATTCGGAACAAGCGAACCAGTAAGTAGCAACAGAAGAACTAAACCAAAGTTTGTAAACATGCCAGGCGCCGTAATTGACGTCAGCAGAGACGAAAATCCTCAAAGAGAAAACGATCGAGCAGTCCGATTTTTGAAGGTTTTCACGTCTAGTTAGATTACAGGCTTACCTACGGTAATAAAAATCAAACATAGCTAATACTCGTGTAGTATGTAGAGCTTCGTGTTTAAAAACGAAACAGGACAGAACAGGAATAGTGAAATGTATAGCCAAACTGGCATAACTGTTAAAATTTACACTTATCTGACAGCGATCATGCTGAGGTCCATCGCTGAGGTCCATCGCGGTTAAGATATATTAATAATTATTTTTCATATCAATAAAAATTTTAAAGTTATTTACAGGCTTTTTTCAGCAGTTCCTAATCATCTATTACGTAAGGTTTCATCTGTGAGCGAGTCAGAAGGCCCAACAGCCGCAAAAACAACTTTCTCTCTGACTCAGTCCTTCAATGAACATTGATCTTTGTAAAATAAAATTTAACTACTATTAACTTTTTATTAATGGTAATAATTTGTGTGGCCATAGGACCAAGGAAATGGAAATCAAATTTCATCGCAGGACACGTAAAGAAAATAGTTTACGAGAAATTAATTTTAGGTTACTGCTTAGACTAATTGTCGCTAAGAAAGAATTATTTACATATAGCCTGAGCGATGACTGAAAATAAATGTTTATATTTTAAGGAGCCAGACTCTATTCTCTACAAGTTCCTTGAATGTCATTCCACACATGAATTTTATACGGATGTTGTTGATCGATTTAAAGTAAAATATGAATGCACTTACTCTCCATCGCATTAAGAAAAATTGCTTGGAACAACTACAAAATTCTCAAGTTGGTGAGTACTTTTTCAATCACCGTTTATTATAAACAAAAGTATATCAATACCCACAAAAAATGCTTGTGATACTGACGAACTTATTTTCAAATTTGTGCATGAATTTAGAACTTATTCTCGTAAAGAAAAAATTATTTTTATTGTTAACTTGCACGGATATCAGCAAAAATTATTTGTACCACCATAATATGCTTGTGATATTGACGAATTTATTTTTTTAATTTGTGCTTGACTTTAGAATTTATTCACTCGAGCGAAAATTATTTTCATGGTAAACTTTCAAGGTTCTTTCACTTGCTGAATTCAAACTTGCAGTGAGAATGACGCTATTCTTTTACATTTTGAAAAGAAATGGTGAAATTCAATTGGAACCATCTTTCCTAGTGACTCAGTGCATTTCTCTGCAGTTTCGTTGAAATTTATAAAAAATTTGCTTGACAGGAGGAAAAAATTTGTAAGTGAAACAGAGCAGATGGCGGAGACTAAAACGTAGGAAAACAACCGAGCGTGTGCGACAACGCTGAAAAGTTTCAAGGGTAGCTTTGGTGCTTTTTTTCAGTTTCGTAAAGTTCTTCAAGCTTTTATACAATAATGAAAAATAGCTGGAGTTCCTGTATTCCTGAATTTTTCGTTCTTTTGATAGCAACGAAATGACCTTCACATTAGCAACAGCAAAAAATTGTTTCCCGCTTTGCGGTTTTCGGGATCGTCCTAAGTATTTAAGCTTCTCATAGAACAAGATTTCTTTGTTGAAACCGCTCGATATATACAACGACCTTAAGTGTTGAGAATCATTTTCTTTATACTTGGGTTTTTTTTTTCGTAAGCGGAAATGTCATTAAAAGGAAACCCATTTCTATGTTAATAAATTACACCACAAATGTTAATTTGGCCTGCGGATAAAAAGCAAGGAAAGAAACGGTTCTCGTAGGTTTTTTACAATGTAAGCCAAGCACAAAAGAAGCCTAAAAAAAAATATAGGCCCCGACAGGATCCGTACCTCCCAGTTTCAGGGCGTTACCATTTGAGGTACAAAATCCTCTAAATTCACCGTGTCCTCAACGTGCGGCTTCGTGGCTCAGTTGGTAGCAGCGCCCAACTGATATCTGAGAGGCAATAGGTAAAGACCTGTCGAAGCCTGAATTTTTTAGCCAGGCTTCTATTCTGCAAATTATTTAAATTGTGGCACACCTGCGAGGATCATTTCTTTACTTAATAAAAATTTTATCAAATCTTTTTTCTATTTTTTTTAATTCTTATCTTTTTTTTCTTCTTCTTCTTTTGGCAGGGGAGTTTTGGGTGTAATTGAAAATCTGCATACAGTCCGCTCATTTAAATTCAGAATTTCACGACCATTTATTTGCCTTTTCTTTAACAATAACGATAGATAAATTTACAGCATCGTATCTGTAAGGTGAGGAGACGTCAAGGAATAACCGGGCTTAAACGTGTAATTAAAATCATTCGATTTTGTCGCGTAGTTACTCCCGCGTGGCAGTTGAAATAGAAGCTCGGGATGTACCACAAAATGATTTATTCCTTTGATTTGACAATCCATCCAGCCAAGCATTGCATTTAGATGCTCACTGTTTGCGATTTACTCTTATACTGAATATACCAATCCGGTTACTTTATTTTGTTTCTTAATTTTAAATAACAAGTTGTTTTCCTCCCTTAAACTTCCTTTCATTTAGCAAAACGAGTCTTGCCATTTTTTACATTTTTAATCGAGATAAAAGCGAGTTATCACTTTTCACAAAGCGATTTGATTACTGAAACTCGGTTAAATGTTTAGTTGTTTTCGAAGAAGCAACATGTATGATCAGTTGAATCCAAAGTTTGATCAATACTTGCTACAAAACGAAGAAAATGGCCAGTTTGTGGTAAAGGATACTGTAAGAATGATTTTAAGAGGTTTTTCGTTGGTTCTGACTCACCCATGTAGTAAGGATTACAATTGTTTTAGAAACAATTAACTGCAGCCATTTAGATGGACACGCTTTTAACCTTCGCAATAAAAATCAGGTATTTGACCGATAAGAAAGAAGATTTCATCTAAATTAAGAAAAAAGGACGTTACCTTGATCTAGGGAAGCCTGTGGCACAAAACATCATCATAAAGATCTGCATAGGATGTTCGCCTTGTGATATTTTTTCCCTTGGCTTTACCAGAAGAAGTTATTAATACGAATGCCCTACTAATGCGCTCTATGAAAAGCCCCCGCTGTGATAAAAGGCCTTCACCAATGTCTCGCAAAACAATTTGCATCTTTTAATGACAGGAACTAATGCTTGAATGAACTCATTCATTCAACTTAACGAGGTAAAGTTGAACTGCGTTTGAAGAGTCACAGAAAGGTTGAACATGAATACAAATATGTAATACCATTTGATTCTGCTTTGTCAAAATGAGGTGTTCTTAATTTTCTTTTCGTTCATTTCCAGCTGTCTCAAGTTATAACACAAGTGACATTTCAAAGCAATTTTCTTGATAACGCGTTAAAAGGCCAAAATGCATGTATAATTCGAAAAATCGACATTAAGCAAAAAATGTATGCATCTTAAGTCGGATGAATTGACGGCATAGAGTAAGTAAACGCTTTTGGCGATCAGGAAGGACATCGTAGGATTTACTCAGTCATTCTTCTCTTGTTACCTAAGGTTTGTTTTAGACCACCCATCTTTCATCTTCATCAAACTGGGGTTAAATTGTTAATGCTGATAATAATAAGTTGCGTATTGAAAAAATGAATCGCCAATATTCTAAAATTTCACCACGAAGTTCACTGG